CCCCCCCCCCCCCATTGCTACAACGGACTAGCAATTAGCTGTGCAGGTCACTATGAAAGTATGTGGAACCCTCTTCCTTTGACTGGTCTAGAAAAGAACTGGCAATTACTTCTGCAACTCAAATAGCTAGGCCTAAGCTAAGGATGCTAATGTTGAGGCATTTAACCCCTGTCCCTTTTGTTTGTCTAGAATGTTATAGTTGCACTTGTTTTGCAAATGAAAAGATTGATCACTGTACTTAAACCAGTTTACAGACTAACAGTTTTTATGTGTTCCGCCAAAACGTATGTCATGTTCTTCATGTCTGTCATATTTTGCTTGTGTAACCCACAAGCATGTGTGAGAGAGAGAAATGCCATCCCATCCATGCCTCATCTATAAAGGACATGGGTGTATGATAGCTTTTGATTAGTCTGGTTCTTTAGCACAGGCAATGCAAATGTTGTGCTTTTTATCTTGAAGTTGTTGGTCTAAGCCCTGATTTTGTTGAAGATGATGCGATGAGCCTTAAAGATAACCTAGAAGGTTCCTATGGCTGATGAGTAATGTCCTCAGTGAGCATGGGTGTTTTTTTCATACTTACTTTTGGTAACTTTTAAATAAGGGTAAAATGTGCACAAAGAAATAGAGGCATGTTATTGCCTCTTCTCCTACAGAAAGATTGACACAGACAGGAACAGCCTCAACATTCCAGTTTCTTTCTCTGATTCCCAGGCAGGTGGAGCCCCACTTCTCCCTGAATTTGGACATCTACCCATGGAGGTACACCAAAGCTACATTCAAAACATATTAGCGATAATGCAGATAAAGGTCCATCTCCAAGGAATACCCAAAGCGCAATATAAGCATCAAACCTATCAAATTTGTGTTTAAAAGAGAACCTTAACTGTGACCTCAACAATGTTAAGAGACAATGACTTTGTAAATGTGCACTGGTCAGATGTGCTCATCTCTGTATATAACCAACATAAAAGCATGTGAGGTTGACTTATGTACTGCTTTTCAGTATTTGTTGGAGATGGAAGTGGAAGCCTTATATGGAGTATGTTACCAACACTGGTAAGCATTAAAGAGAGGGAAAGGAAAACACAGATCTTTCCCCATATCTTACTTCTGTACTTTAAAGATTTTTGGATGGATGTATATCCTGTTTCTAAATGTAGTTTTTGTTTTGTCCATCCCTAGTATTAATGATCAATGTCTTACCTAAGTTTTGTACATGCTCTAAAATGTAATTAGTTTTGGTGATTATTAGTCAATAACATCAGAAAATACGAAGTTCTGTATATTTTACAGTCAAGTGTAGCTTCCACTGCCATAAATCTTCCATCTAGTCTTGGTTTCAATTAACTTTAATATTAACACAATTTGATAATATTTGAAATGGACATTATTTATCTATTCATTGAATTACTAATAGAAAAAGAAAACAAATGTAAGATTCACCTAGAGTCAGTATGCTATGAAGAGTAAATTTATTGTTGTGATATAGATTTGCATGTCTTTGAGGTGCTGTCCTATAGAACTTTGGCAGTAGAAGTTTATAAATATGAATATATTTATGAATATGTGAAGGTAGATGCTGATGAAAACCATTCTTTTAGCCATATATGGGTTTCTGCTTTTTAATGCTTTTATAACCACTTCATTAGAAATATGAAAGTAAGTTTTATATTTTTCTCAGTATCTTAAACTATCTGCTGCTTCTATTAAATAAGTATTATAATTATCAATTTGTGATGCTTTGATAATGGCTTGTGCATTTTTAAAAACATTGTGTATAAGAGAATGTTGAAATGAGCTAGAGACTGTCAGAGTTTTCCGTGCAGCAAAGCTATGTTGTTGTAAGGTGGTGTGGTTTTTTTTTTTTTTTTTTTTGTGGAGAAAGCTAAGGCATGTGCTTAAGGGGCCTTAACTGCACCTGTAGTCTGTCCCGTAACTGAAAGTTTCAAATCATTTTAAAGAAATAAAAAATATAGACTCTTTTTCCAAACTTAGTTTCAGATTCCCTACTTCTGCGATGCTTTTTTTGAGATGACTTATGAATTTATCCCAACAAAGTGAATTTTTCTAATTTTTTTGGTGTGCTTCATCAGTTATATTAAAAGGTTATGTTCTATGATGACAGTTTTTATGAATTACTCATGTGGTGGAATATCTCATATTTGACTTCAGTAGGGAATCTCATGATTTAAAGTCGCATAAAATATGCCTCTTATAAGAGCTGTTGTTTTGCTAAGAAAATTTTTTTCATCTGAATTGTTAATAAATCTATTGACTTGTTCACTGAACTAAAATGTAACAACAAAAGCACCCATCCCTCAGTATTGTAGAGTAACAAGGTAGCTAGATGTTCAACAGTCTGTGGTTTGAGTGTCTCTTTATGATGTGTGGCTCTGTTATGATGAGTTAATACATAGGAATGGCACCTTATGAACAAATATGATGCATGTCAGGGGTGGGCAAAATGGCGGATCCAGCTGGTGGCCAAACTACATTTCCCAGCAGCTCCTGCTCGCATCACTGCAGCTGGTTTCCACGGATACCCCAGTAGCAGTGGGGCCAAGGCTTCCATGAAGACCGGCCCCAGCAATTCTGGCAGAGTGCATAGCTGCCCAGGGTGCTGCTCTGGGGCCAGGGCTGGGCTCTTGCAGTTTCATAGTTTCTAGGGTTGGAAGGGACCTGAACAGATCATCTAATCCGACCCCCTGCCATGGCAGGAAAGAGTACTGGGGTCAAACGACCCCAGCAAGGTGTTCATCGAACCTCCTCTTAAAACCCCCCAGGGTAGGAGCCTGCACCACCTCCCTTGGAAGTTGGTTCCAGACCCTAGCTGCCCTGACCGTGAAATAGTGCCTCCTGATGTCTAACCTAAACCTACCCTCTGCCAGTTTGTGACCGTTATTCCTGGTCACTCCTGGCGGTGCTCGGGGGAACAGTGACTCCCCCAA